TAAAACAAGAGGTATTTGTTCAAAGAACAACAGCACTGAGGCCTTCCCAATTTCTGATGCTGGGACTAGCTGATGGAAAGATTACAATGTAAGTTTTTTTATTGTCTTAAGGACTCTCTATGGGACCAACATAAACATCTGCTTTAATATCTGATTCAGAGCTATGAAAGCTTTGTGACAAGCCTGTCAACCAAGAAGAATTATTAAAAAAAAAAATAACTCATTCCATCAAATCCAGTTTTTCATGTTTTTTTTTTTTTGGTTTGTTTTTGATTAGGGCACTCACAGGCCGTGGGCCCAAGCATTTCAGAAGCCCCTATGGCTAGGAATGAAGGATAAAGATGAACTGACAGGGATAGATGTAGGAGAGGAGTTTTATTTTGAAACAAGACTTAATGTACTGTACTTCTACTGTAAGTTCTGAGCTATCAGTAGTGCTAGGCTTGCTCTAAAGGAAACTACATTAGTGCTGGACACTGTGACTTTTCATTGGTAACTTGGAACGTTTTGCCTGGCAAAAGGTGCTCTAGCACCATCTTGGGGTTCCTAGAGTCACATATCCACTGAAATGAGAGCTGCCAGGATATGCTGAGAAAGCTACACTAGCGTAAGTGAATCCAATGCTGGAGTAGGACCATGAAATAAAGAGAAACCAGGCTGAGATGTAATTGAGGAGTAGGAGGAACTCTGAACTAGCATCTAAAATACCAATTAGCCTTTGAGTGGTGTAAACTGCTTTGGAAATAATGACAAAACACTATCCACTTTCCCTACAGGGTGAAAATATTCTTCAAAAAGAAGTAAGACTGGAGAACCTATTTGTGCCAGGGTTTCTAAAGCCTCAGTGTGATTACTACTTGGAATTACTGTCCACTTCCCTGATAGCGGGACTCCTGGACCAACTCTGGAGCCTGGGTTTTCAGAGTCTCACAGGAAACCCAGCATGAGCGTGAGAAATGGAAGACAGATTTCAATAAATGCATCAAGCAATTTGAGTTCAGGAAAATGTCCACTGACCTGTGCAGTGCTTCCCTTGTCTTCCAAACATTGATAAATGGACTTCTGTTCACTAGGGTATATCTTGCTATTGGTTGTTGTCATACAGATGTTCCCCTTCCTGGATATTTTCTGGACAACATCCTTGTGTTTTTAGTAATCAAAACTCCCAAAAACTCTTCAGAAGGATCGTTAAAGACCTGGCTGAATTCTAATTCTGGAATAAGTTCAACACACTCCTTTTCCCCTGCTCTTCAGTTGGGTCTTCCCTCAGAAGATCATCCAGGGATGATAAGTAGCTAAGAAAGTGCCTTCCACTCCCAAAGATGGCACCAGAAGAAACTGTGCAATACCCAAACAACATCAGAAGAATAAAGTTGAGCAGAATAACATTGCAAAGACTCAGAAAAATTAAAGCCAACCAAAGTAGACCAAAACCTATAAGGTCAACCTAAACAGAAGATATAAATAGGATCAAGAGTCTCCTAAAATAATAACCAAAATGCCCAGGGTATAATAGAAAATCACTTATCATAACAAGAACCAGGGAGACCATGATCTGAATAGAAAAGATAATCAACTGGTACAATACCAAGATCAATTAGATGTTGGAATGTCTGACAAGAATTTTAAAGCAGTTGTCATAAAGTGTAAACATCAATTATATATCCTCTTGAAACAAATAAAAAATAAAATCTCAGCAAAGAAATATAAGCTATGACAATCTATGGAATGAGAAGAATATTTGCAAACAATATATCTGATAAGGGGTTAATATCCAAATATACAAAAAAAAAAACAAACCCCAAAAACAAAAAAAAAACCTCACACAACTCAATAGCAAAACAAACAAACAAACCCCACAAAGAATCCAATTACAAAATGGGCAAAGAAGCCAGATAGACATCCTTCCAAAGGAGATCTGTGAATGGCCCACAGGGAAATAAAAAGTTGGTCAACATCACTAATCATAAGGGAAATGCAAATCCAAACCATGATGAAATATTACCCGACACCTGTTAGAATGCCTATTGTAAAAAAGATAAAACAAAAGCTGGTGAGGATGTGGAGAAAGGGGAACCTTGGTGCACTGTTGGTGAAACTATAAACTGATACAGCCGCTGTGACAACAATATGAAAGTTCCTCAAAAGATAAAAAATACAACTCCCATATGATCTAGCAATCCTGCTTTTGGGACTGTATCTGAAGGAAACAAGCACACTGTGTCAAAGAGATAGTGATATCTGCACCCCCAGGTTCACAGCAGTGTCATCATAATAGCCAAGATATGGAAACAACCTAAGTGTCCATTGACGAATAAATTGATAAAGAAGGTGTGGTGTATGAATACACAATGGAATATTATTCAGTCATAAAAAGAAAGAAATCTTTCCATTTGTGATAACATGGATGGACTTTGAGGGCATATGCTAAATGAAATCGTTCAGACAGAAAAAGACAAATACCATATGATTTTACTTATATATGAAATATAAAGAAAAAGAGAGGAAAGAAAACAGACTTATAGAAAAAGAGATCAGATTTGTAGTTATCAGAGGGGATAGAGGGCATTGGATAAAAATGGTCAAAACTTTTGCGGGGTTGGAATAGAAGTTATGGAAAAGTACTGGGCAAGCTTGCACAGCATCATTTCCAGGCCAACTTCCATGACTCTGGTTGTATTTCAACTCATTATAATTATTACTCGTGGTATCATGAGTTATGGATTGGAATAAGCCCCTGGGACAAGTAAGAATATGGGATGCTTCTTAAGTTTCCTTTCATCCCTCTCTCCTATTTTCCTAATCTGCCTGAGTAAATTAAGAAAATGTCAGGTTAGAGTATTCTAAGAAATAAAAATAACATTTAACAGTGCCCTGTACTGGAATTGCTCAACCCAACCTGACTTGTTATTGACAAAATGATGCTCTGCAATAAGGAAAAACAGGCCATCCTTTTGTGAGAAGTCCCTGGTCTGACTATCTCCAAGCCTACATCTAGTTTCAAGATAGTTGGTCACCTATACTGAATGGAAACTAAAGTTGGTGCTAATGATCAAAACTGCCTTTGGAGTTTAGAAAACTCCCTTGAGTGAACCTGCCCTTAAGTCTCTAAGTCAACTTGCACTTAGGTGAAGTGAATTTTACTCTTAACGCATTTTTAAACCCATACCATTACATAACAAGCACTCAAAACAGACAGGCAGATACCCAAGAATATTGTTAGCAAGATCTCCAACCAATGGCAAAGTCATCCTGCCCAGAAAAACCCTTGCATTAGTAATTTTCAGATAACCAGAGTTGCAACTAAACAAGGCAAAATGGAAAAATAATACTATCTACATGTTGGTCTGTCAAGTCAAGAAAGCTCAAGCCCTGGCCAGTGTGGCTCAGTTGGTTGAGCATAGTCCTGTGCACCAAAAAGTCACTGGTTCGGTTCCAGGTCAGGACACATAACCAGGTTGCAGTTTCTCTCTCACAGTTTCTCTCTCTCCCTCTTGCTTCATCTCTCTCTCTCTAAAATCAATAAAAACATGTGTGTGTGTGTGTGTGTGTGTGTTTAATTTAAAAAAGAAAGAAAATAAAGCTCAACCTGTGGGCTAAAGCAGCTAGAGATCAAATGTAGTGGTGGGGAAGGCATCCTAAAACAATGGCCAAAAAATTCTTGCTGCTATGTGAAGCTGATGTGTGGCCTGGCGTAAAGGGCCAAAGAGGAAAGACAACCGAGAGAGCAACAGCACAAATAATTATTCCAAGTCAAGATTTTGAATCGTAGCTTTGATGATGGGAAAGCTGAAATGCTTATCTGTGGATAACTGAGTTTTAATTATTTTATCTCATTTCATGACACTGGAAGAGGTACTTCTATTGTATTTTCAGTTTGTTCCAAAATAATGTGTTATGACAATAGAATGAAAATCAAATGTACCAAGGGTCAGATTTGTTCAATCTGCCTAAAGGAAAGATCACAATGAAAATTCTTAGAGAGGTTTACTACGTCAAATGTAATTATAACTCAGTCAATTGTTCAAAATACAAAGTTTGGTGTAAAATGCTTTAAATCTGTATTTTCCATCAGACTTTTTATTGGCACAAGTTTTATCTTCAGATAAAAGAGAAGTACAATTCTCAAATATCACAATAGTTCTCATATGAATCACTTTTTGGTTCTTGAATTTCTATATTCAGTTAAAAAAAAAAGTCCCTTTATTACAATCTTATATTTCCATCTCTTGTCAGAAATATTTTGACATAAGAGCAAAGATAAGTAATAATTTATAAAGGATAAATATGACTGACTATATGATCAGGGATAAATAAACATAAACTAGTTTATATTACAATGAAATAATTTTGAAATAGAAATATGAATCTAAAGTTAACTGAATAAATCTTCAATTTAGTAAAGGTAATATGACATTTGGCTACAAAAATAATTATTTTTTCACTCATTATGAGGAAAATAAAATATCTAACTATAAACATCGGCTAATTTTATTCCAAGATCAACTAGTTTGAAAACATTTAATATCTGCAGTAATCAGATGAATTAAATAGTACTGTTTTAGGGTACTACTTTAGACCAAAGACTTAAGCAAAGATGCAATATTTGAAATGAATAAGAAAATACTTGTTTGCCTTACTGGTGTGATTCAATGGTTGAACATCGACCCATGAGCCAAGAGGTCACTGCTTGATTCCTGGCCAGGGCATATGTCTGGGTTGAGGATTCAATCCCCAGTGGGTGTGCAGGAAGCAGCCGATCATTGCTGCTCACTCATCATTGATGTTTCTATCTCTCTATCCCTTTCCCTTCCTTTCATTCTAAAATAATCAATAAAAACATATTTTTTAAAAAAACTTGTTTTATTTTACACATGATATTTGTAAGACATGTTTTTCTTTGAAACAGTATATACTTAAATGACAGAGACTGTATTTGAATTTATGTTCTGAATCCAGCTTTTAAGCTTTTATTTTCAGTTGGAATTCTTTGCATTTAAGCTATTTTAAGTTCAATGTGAGGAAACCTCTTATTTGTTCTTTCTCCATAAAAGGACTAGTCTTTAATAAATTTGTCTCTTATTGTGGCCTCTAATCCTCCGTGTTTACTGGAAAAGATCAAATCTCAGGTTTGACATTTAAAGGTTGCAAATTAGACACTGCTTAGTATATCACATAGCATCAGTAAAAGGCAGAAGAGGTATTTACTTTGGATAGTTTTGATTATAAGCATTTCCCCCCTTTATTCGTTCATGTTTTTACCATCTTCATAACCCCATCATGTAGCCTACTGGTCGCTGAAGAACACAAATTACCAAATGTAATTTCACTTAGTGGATTTTCCAGTTCCAAAGGAAACTTGCATTTTAGCATAATTTCAAAATGACTTCAGAGGAGATTAGTTTCTGATATTTGAAGACAGTGGTTTGTGAAATCTCACATATTACATATTTAATTTTTTATCAGTAAATATTCTCTCAGTGATGTCTTGCAAATGGTTAACATTCAGTTAAAATGGCCTAATGAATAAATTGTGTAGTCCTAAACACACAGGAATACTAAAGTCTTGCAATTATTTTTAATCATAATTCTTTATAAATCCACTTCTAGACAATGTTATCTTCCCCTTGGGTGATTTGTGCTACCTCTAGTGGAAAGAGGGAGCCGCTTTGTGATCTTGTGGTACGGAGTTCAGATCCTGCTTCTACCTCTATTGGCTGCATGACAGTGAGCTACTTACTTCTCTGAATCTGGGGTTTGGATTTCTTTTTTAAAAAAGAATTAGGCACAAAATGTATAAAGTAAAGAACACTCTGAACATAATAACTGTACAATAAATGGTAGCCAAAGTTTAAATTATTAAAGTTATTTGTTGAAGTAATTTGAAATAAGGTTTCTGGAACCACTTTATTTTCATGTATATTTGTATATTCTCATACAATATTATCCAAGTGTCATAGAAACATGAAAATGAATGGATGAATGTGAATAGTTCATTCTGAATGAAAATAAATGTCAGACAAAGGAAAAGTTTATTCATTTTAATACCAAAGAGTTGTTTTGTCGTTTGTCTACTTTTATTCTGCCACAGTTTTTCTGAATGTCTCATGCATGCTGCTATGTGCTGCCAGGAAAATATGTCCTTTACAAATTGTCATTAAGTCCTTAGGCAATTAAAAAGTAATCCTGGGAGGTGATGATGTTTTTGGATTATAATCTAGGAGTTTCTGGAGAAATTGCCGGGAAACAATAGGGATAGTGTAGAGTTCCTTTGTCTGCCTTGCTTCTGTTCCTTCCTGGGCAATGTACCAATGTTGTCCCTTGGGCATCAGGTGGTTATAGAGGAGACTGCTCTTTTTTCTTATGGAAAGAGAAAAGAAAGAATTCAGAAGCTCCTCTGCCAGCCTATTTCCTACAGAGATTCTGACCCCTTGCACCCCAGGCTGCCTGTCACCACACACAGCCACCTCTGCCCTTTATCCACCAGAGTTCGTCACCGTTCCCATGTTAGCTCACTGGACCCACTCTTCTCACTCTCACTTTGTTACATTGCTCTAGCGTTAAGTTTGGGAAGGAAGCCAGTATCGTCTGTAGTTCAGCTCTCTTGTTAATACTGGGATTTCTTAAAATCTGCCTGGGGTAATTTTAGTCTGTGCAAGAGTCCCATGGTGAAAACTGCTATGAAGAGTTTTGAATCATACATCATGTCTGACATTGAGAAATTTTTTAATCATTTAGGAAAATAAAACACCTTTTGACTCTCAGAATATTTTAGTGTAAAATGTAAAGATGTTTCAGATAATCCATTCAAAACTCATGGAAAATAAAACACCTACTCTATTCCTCGATACAATTTTCTTTCCGGGAGAAGTTATAAGACAATGGAGAAACATTCATTTTTATAATTTGCTGGCACTGTCTCTGATATTTTAAATGTTTTAAAGTTTTTAGAGCACATGTCAAAACACTTTCTGTGAAACAGCCTACTCGGAAGACTTTGACCTGGGGGTGGGGGAACACTCTGAGGAAGAGCTACCTGGTGGTGAGACATAGGCCTTCAGGCCAAGGGCGTGTACCACCGACCACACCCACTGTTTTGCTTGTGGGGGAACACGGTAACCTCAATGTCACTCTCACATCTAAGGGGGATGGAAGAAGCACTGACTGAATCTTAATTGTTTTATCTTCTCTATTCCTTAGTATAATCACTTTTCATACTGTCTGTCTTACCTGTTCACCTATGGGTTCAGCTTTTCCTTTTCTGGAGAGAGAACAGAGCTTGCTGAAATGATGAGGTCCAAAGAGGTAAACTTCCTTCTGATCTTTACCAACATAAAATAGGCATTCCCAGGAGACTTCGCTCAAAATGGAAACATAAAAGAGTTCCATGACTTAGAAAGTGACCATTCTTTAGCATGTCCAGTACATAGTTTGTCTGATACATGTGCTGTAATTCTTCATGGCATAAAAAGACTGAAAATCCACACAATTGAAAAAGTATAAAGCTGTAAAGCCTGGAGTAGATGAGCTAGCAGAGTTACTAATAAAACAGCCTTTATGGTATCTGGATCTCGTTCAAGTTCACTACAGCACATAGGGAAGACAAAACTTCCCACCCTGTTTAAAAATCAATATATTTCACAAGGCTTAAAATAAATATAATGAAAAATAACACAATGATAGGTCACATTGAAAATACTCATAAAAACTTTTACATAAACACTGTCATTGCATCTCCATTTTCATAGCCCAAAGATTGAGGGGAATTTAGTACAATTGAGTAGTAACATGATAGACCAAAGAATAACTCTAAAATAGCCCCATCTGTCTTCACAGCTCATGTTCTGATACCAATGGTTTTTGAAGAAAGGCTTTCAGCTCAGAAGTCCACAGATTTGCAAAGATTCATTCCTTATGAATCTGAAGGAATTATGGGTTAAATAAGTATACAAATGATGCCTTACAAATCCAAGCCCAAATGATAAAGCTTAATGCAAACACCTACCTACAGACATAGACACAGAATCATTTCTATAATATCATAACCCTACTGTGCATACTATTTGAAACCTATTATTTTCACATGTGACAAATAGTCACCCTTTTGTGGTAGGCAATTACACAGACCTGAGCAGAGCAAGGACGATGGGCCACGTACAGAAAGTCACCAGGGGGGAAACCTCCAGGTGCTTAGTAAGGACAATTATTGGGTGGGACTTTGCCTCCAGGGTGACTTTTGCTCCCCTAGCATATCACTGGTCATGAGGTTTGGACCCCCTGACCTATCCTCCCTAGAGACAATATCTAGTTGTATTTCAGCTCCAGCTCCAAAACAGCAGCAAAACCAGACCAGTGACCCCAGGGCTGCCCTCAGGACGAGCACAATGAACAATGATTCCCACCCTGGCACCAAACCAGTGTACTTTCCCTCTCAGGAGTATGCCCCTGCCTTTCCCATCCCTCTCCACCTCCCTGCCCCAGGTGCATAACCATTAGCTCTCTCACTCCCAAGCTCCAAGGGCGCTTCTTTAACTTCTATAACTTGTTTCCTAAGCACATTTCTTCTAGGAATTACTTCTTGTTACCTCTGTGACTTTATACATAAATGTTCTCTAATAGTTGGAATCTTGGCTCTGAATTCTTTCCTAGCCAGAACTCAAGTACCAAGGTTACTGAACCCAGGTCCAGTCTGACCCTACGGGTCTAAACTAACACCCAGTGCTGTTCCCACCACCTACAACACTTTGAAATCATAAATTTAAAAGCTACAAACCATGGATGTGCTTAATTTATTTTTTATTTTTTTTAAAATATTTTGAAAGAGAGAGAAAGGGAGCGGTATAGATAGAAACATCAATGAGAGAGAAACATCGATCTGTTGCCTCCCACTTGGCCCCCACAAGGATCAAGCCTGCAACCCAGGCATGTGCCCTGACCAGGAATCACATTATCCACCTCTTGGCTCATGGGTCAACACTCTACCATGGAGAAACACTGGCTGGGCTGGGTGTGGGTAATGCTGTTTATCCAAACCATCATTATTGGGCATTTAAGCTGTTTTTAAAATTTTAAGATTACACATATTTTTTGGTCAACTTTTAATTAATAAATATTTGGAAATATGTCTCAGGATTCCTATTGTTCAAATTCCTGGAAGTGGAAATGGTGGGTCAAGAGTTTAACCCACCTGCTTGCATTTTATCAAAATTTCCTTCAGAATGATTGTATAAACAAATACTCATCAGCAGTGCTTAAGTTGCATGTATAGTGTTCCTTATAAATACCTGCATGCTTTGTATTAATCATCTAATCTCAAATAGTACCTTTGCATGAAGAACTTACCTGGCTTCTAATGAAAATGCCACTAAGATGAAATATGCAGAGGTCAATAATCCAATTAACTGTGTAACCTCAAAAACATGAGAGGAGCCAGTTCATATTAGCTGTGCAGACTGCTATGGAAACTCTAAGGAAGTCTGGCCAGCTCAGTGGTTGAGTGTTGACCTATGTATGAACCAGAAGGTCATGGTTCGATTCCAGGTCAGGGCACATACCCGGGTTGTGGACTCCATCCCCAGTAGGGGGTGTACAGGAGGCAGCCGATCAATGATTCTCTCTCATCATTGATGTTTCTATCTCTCTCTCCTTCTCCCTTCCTCTCTGAAATCAATAAAAATATTTTTTTTTAAAAGAAACTCTAAGGAAGGCCTGTGGCTATTATTCTCTATTTCTCTTAAAGGTTAAATTCTGGATAAAGATTGAAAGCTAGCTGCTTTGTAAAGTTGTTTTCAGATTTGATTACCTAAGACATGCTATAGTAATGAGTCATCAGATCAGATTAACACTTGCAATAGGTTTGAATGTCAAGTAAGAGGGAGAATTCAGGGGAAAGAAAAATGATCCCTAGGGCCTAGATGTAAGTACTGTCTTGGCAAAACTGTATGTCTAAGTGTGACAGGTGTATTACAAGACATTTTTAAAACCTTAAGAGAGGGTTCATGCTCGCTGGAGACTCTCAAATCATAGGAAATTAATTGTTTTCAAGTGATTTGTCTTGAGAGATATTCAAATTCTTTCTTGGTAAATAATCAAGTCTTTTTCAATCTTTGGTATAATGAAAAGAACATAGGAAGAGAAGTTGTAAAACTTGATATTGTATATCCCAGCTTCAGACCACTGAAATCAAGTGAGTATCACAATAAAACAAGTTGTAATCTTTTTGTTGATGGAGGGTCTTACTGTCAATTTGTAAAAAATGAAATATCTATGAAAAGCAATAATGCAAAGTGCAATAAAAGAAGGTGTGCCTTTATACAATTAATTACATTTTTCTTATTCTAGTCTCTCTTATGTGCCTACTAATTGTATAGCAAATGGAATGCTTTTACTAATTATTCAATACATTAAACCAAACAAACCATCTATAGACATCAGTCTAAATAAAAATGAATTAATCATAAGACATTAGGCCTCTTTATTCATTGCAAGCAATCTCTCTTCTAGATAACATGTTCATGTTGTCAACTTCAGAAAACTTGAGAGGCAGAAAAAGAAAAAGACAGCCTTCTGTCTGACCTAGAAACATGAAAACTTAAAAAAAAAGAAGTTCTGTTTTTCTTCCATTAAATGAATATTAACTTAATCTAATCTAAGGCTCATTTTTTTAGTTAAGGTTTGCAAGCAAATCTCTATAAAAATGCAAATTATATAATAGACTCTTGGATTTTTCCTGTCCTTTTCCTTCATCTTGTTAATCTTGCAAGAAACATCCTCTATGTCTTTCAGAACATTGAATTTTAGTGGAGATGTTGATGAGGAAAGAAAACTAAGTTCCACATAAGCACTTAACAAAATTACTATGAAAAAAATTTGAAAGAAGTTTGAGAAATCAAGGCTCCTCTTTTGTTATTTGAATCAATGACTGTCAAATTTAAAACATTGGCTTTCATTTTTACATAGTATCTTCTAAAATTTGAAGTTATACAAAAACATAGTAAGTAAAAAAAAATACTACAGGAAAAGAGCACTCCCCCCCCCCCCAACACACACTCACACACATAGAATTAAGACCTGAAGTCCCAATCAGTCTACTTATTTAATAAATTCCTTTTAGTTCTATTTTGTCTTAGCTATTCTAGCTCTGCAGAGACTAAATGAGAAAAGTATGATGAAACATTCGACCTCCATCATGAAAGTGAAAGAAAAATAAGGTCAGTGATCTAAACGTTTGTTAGGAAATCTGTTTAAGACTTGGATTTGCATGTATCCCCTCTTTCTTGGACTATTAATTTAGTCAGCCCTTCGACGAGGCTTAACCATCTCAAGTGACATTGCATCAGTGCAGAGCAAGTAGCTGAAGA